TTTGCAAAAGAATGCACAAACTGTCTAAATTCACCAGTGAAAGATTAGTCAATTTGTTAAAGATACCCTGTTCTAAGACTATGAGAAATTATTAAATATTATTAACATGGAAATAAAAATATTAATGAAGATAGGTTAAAAGTCATTAAAATCACTTAAAATCTAAGTATGAATAGTGCTTCCTTACATATTCCAGTTTCTTCAAGTACTTAATATTTATGTTTTTAATAAATTATATTTTAAACTAATTATTTAAGTATATCTCATTACTATGAAATTTCAGAATCATTTCAAAGACCTTAAAGTTGCTTATCAATGTATTTCCTGTGTATAGCAAATTTTGCTTTAGTTATATCCTTTTATCTAATTATACTTAGGTACTTAAAGTCGAGGTGAACTAATATGGTCACAGATGGCATAGATACTCATGGGTTAACTGGTCTTTCTAAAAAACACAAGAAATTTTAAAATGAAAGAATTACTTTTTTGTAGAATGCAACAATTTACTAAGTTCTTTTTTTTTTAAAGATTTTATTTATTTATTTGGCAAAGACAGAGAGCTCTTGATAGCAGGAACACAAGCAAAAGAAGCGGGAGAGGGGAAAGCAGGCTTCCCTTGAGCAGGGAGCCCATTGTGGGGCTAGATCCCAGAACCCTGGGATCATTACCTGAGCCAAAGGCAGACGCTTAAAGACTGAGCCACCTAGGCACCCCATTAAGTTCTTATATACCTATTTCACATGATCATTATACCATCTCTGTGTGTTATGCATTATGATAAAACACTCAGCATCTCGCCACTTTTTTCATTGAAAGGGTAAAACTCAGCTGTGAGAGAAAACTCTCCCTAAAATCTCAGAAAAAAGTAAGGTGTAATACCAAAGATCTTTAATCTGATCTTATATAGGCAATAATGTGATTCAAAATCACTGTATTAAATATTTAGTTAATGAATTAGACTTCAGTATGTGTTATGCATCTGGAATATGTTTAGCGTTCTACCAACTGGAAGGTATAAAATGGTAAAGACCAATTCCTTCCTTCACTGTTCTTATGATCTAGTCAGGGATCATAAACAACAAAAATAGAGAAGAAAATAAATTATTGGAAAATCAGAATATTGGCTTGAAAGGTATGATGCGATATAAAAAGAAAGATTTTGGCCAAGGTTTTCTGGATTAGTGGAGTATTTTTAAAACCAAATTTGGAGGTAGAAAGAAATGTGATTAACAAATTTCGCCCATGGTCAATCATTATTATTGCTATTACTACTTATTTCACAAATGTGGATATTTCTTTTTTCTTTTAAGGACTGTGTTACTCACTGTTGAAAAGCTTACTATTTAATTGGGGTGATCTGTATAGTTCCAGGTATTTATGGAAAGAATAATAATTTTTCAAAATAGAGCTATGGTTACTCTTGTTCATTAAATAAATCATTTATTAATTGATAAGAATGCTTCCCAAAGAACATATGTCAGCACACCTTTATATTTCCCAGACAGAACAGTAAAGTTCAGAGTCACATCTGTTTTTCTCAAAATAATGAAGCTATAACAAACAATCTGAAGACATACTAATATTCATTAAACCGGCACCAATTGGAATGTTTTCCTCTTGAGACTGAAAAGTTGATATTCCAAATACTTAATAAAAATGGGGATGACCTAATTTACTAACTCTGTATAAGCAGTATACAAACACTAGTTAACAGAGATACTTGCCAATTCCATAAGACCTCGTCAAAATCATCTTCGGGTCTGTGATAAACCTTCCTTTGGCTAACAAATACCCATGTAGAATGAGAATACAGTATGAAGAATAAAAAGGAGGTACCCCTGAAACTTCCTGCTTCAGTTTAACCCCAGCCCCAAACAATTTATTTCCTACTTTTGGAAAAAAAACGGTGTGAGAGTAATTCAGCTTCGTGACTCAAGTTCAAACCTATAGTTGATCTGTAATCCTGTCACTGGAAATAGTACATGTGCTTCCTCTGCCTTTGTAATTGTTTATATTCCTGACCTTCCCTGACACCAAAAATAATTCCCATTCCCATGCTTCCCAGCTTTCGACACATGCACAGAGATTAAAAATTCCACTTATCCTGGTGCAAAAATATAGAAAGCAAATTCATTAACTAAGACATACCTATACAGGCAATTCTGCAGGAAGGCAAAATAAAATCCAGATAATTATTTCTCTATCTTTTACCCTTAGTTTCTGCTATTGATTATGGTTTCCTGATAACTACAAAACCTTTTGCACTGCCAAATAGTTTTCCTTGACCTCCCCCTCCCAGGCAGTCATCGGGAAGGTTAAAAGGAGTCACATCATTACTTCTTCTAAATGGATGGACAACAGACTTTCACAAAGGTAAACCAGTGTTGTCAAAGCATGAAGTAAGTCTTTAGGTCGTGACAACAATAAATAGATGAAGGAAAACACCATTAACTTCAGGAAATTTTCTCAATATAGCCATGAGGTTACTATTTGACAAAATATGTTTATTTTGCTTTCATTTTTCCTTTACAAACATGATGAAAGCCACTAATAATCCCTATAAGGTACAATAAGACCTGTAAATATAGATTATTAATATCACGTGTCTATGATTCTTGGCCTACAGACTTGATGTGGTTTGTACCAATCCTCAATCATGGATTCCATTTAAATTCTTGGACGTGATTCCCTGGTAAATTATGATATACAGATGCAGTATCAAACTAATCTTAGAGAGGTCCTCTCTTTAGGTGGGGTCATGGAAAGCTTCCCGAAGTCCCTGAAGGGTGAGCCATGTAAAGGTAAAACCATGCCACTCTCAGCTCTGCCCCTTACTAGTTTATATTTGGACATATCAATTAACATCTTTACATCTTGTTATTCTCATTTCTAAAGTGAGAATAACTGCTTTGTCTACTCCCCTAATCATCAATTCCATTTTTAAGGATGATCATTTATTGTTAGGATTGCAAAAAAACAAAATGGGACACCACTCATTTCTAACTCTGTGTCTCTGCTTTTTTCCACCTTAAAAATAAGGAGAAAAATGATATTTTGTGTAGTACTGTTGGGAATCTTAATCGTGATAACGTAATAAAGCACCTAGGATTCAGTACAGTGTTTGAAAAATGTCCCTTCCTTTCTCCACTAATTTTCCATTTCATAAATGGGCAAATTCCATTTGAAATGTTGGCAGACCAAATCAGCACCGTTTTATTGTCTCTCAGCTACCTCCTGACCCTATTCTTATCTCTTCCCACATCACCTTCCTGTATTTCCTGGCCTTTCTCTTCCAAGGGCCAAGGTCTTTGCCCATCTCCCTGACCCGGACCATCACTTTGTAGCTTGTCAGTGATGCCTCCTCTGGCCAGTTTTAGCGCTGGGAGGAGTCCCCACGATTCCAAGGCTGCCTGGGACTGCTCATTTCCAACGCCAACCCTCTCTGCTCATCTCCTCGATGTCTGGCCTCGGAACTACGGGAGAAGCGAAGGCATCACTGGAGTGATGACATGCGGCTCTCTCCCTTCCCCGCCCTCCACATTTTTCCTTCCACGTGCGGAACCCTTAAGGCTCGGACCGCTCTCGCCCAGGCGGTTGCTATGGTTACACAACAGCAGCACCAGACCCAGGAGGGGGGCTCATCCCTTCTCTACTTTCCCCCATAACCTTTTCCTCTCCTCCCCGTTCGGGCCTCCCCCAAAACACAGGAAGAGAAGCCTCTGCGGCTAACTTCAGACTTTAAGCCCCCCCTTCCTTCACTAGTGCAAACCGCACTGACAAGCTAAGGCAGGGTGGGAGGGGCTTTGGTGGAGAAGAGTCCTCGCTCCACTCCCGACCGAAGGGCGATAAGTTCGCCCGCCGACTTAACTCCGATCTCCGTAACCAGGAATTTGGGATCTCATTGGCCGCAGCCGCCAGGCGCGCGGCTCGCGTCCAGTCCCTCGGATTCCAGCTCGCCAGCGACAGCGCAGCGTCTCCTCCTCCTGTCAAGTGCCCTCAGCGTTGGGACGGAAGCAGAGCAACTCAGCCCACGAGGTTGAACACAAGTCACCAGGGAAGGAGAATGTGCCAGTACCGAAAACAGCCCTTGCACTTCCAGGGCAGCCCGTTAAGGCTTCGACTCCGGGCGGGCCGGGAAGGGGTCGGGAGGGGACTCCCGGGGCCGGGGGTCAGGGAGGGGGTAGATCCACTGCGTTCAATTCCCAGCAGGAGTCAAATCCGGGCCTTTCCAGCTCGAGCCAAGTCGAGGTTACCCAGGGATGCCCCGTTCCAGCAGGAGTGCGTTTTGCAATAACCGCATTGGCCACACAGCCAGCTTCGTGGCTGGTGTCTGACTCCAACCTTACCCTCAGGGTCTAGAAGGATGCACGCTTCCATCAGACCCGGCGTCGCGATTCCCTCGCGAGGAAAAAGGCGTCGCCCATCCCTCCCCCAAAGCACCACAACAAAAACAACCGCTACGGCCTCCTCGTCCCCTCCCCCAGCCCATGGGAAAGGGAGAGAGCGAGGGTGCAGATACCCTTGGTCAAGTCCTCCCCAGACGGTCCCCACCATCGCGTCTCCCAGTGAACCTGCAGTCGGCGGAAACCACCGAGCGCATTCGAACGCGCTCTCCTGCCGCCTTGGCGGCGGAGGGAGCCAGGAACAGAGTGAAGTTCCCGGGAGCGTCTCAGGAGGAAAACTTTGCTCGGTGCTGGCCGCGGGCGGCGGCAGCGGGGCGGTGGGACCGGCCCCCGCCGCCACGCTGTCCCCGGCTCGGCGAGCACAGGCCGTCCGCTCCTAGGCGCACTGATTCCCAGTCTGTCCCCCGCGCGCCTACCTTCCGTGCGCTCCGCTTCGGAGCGTTTTCCCCGTCCCAGGACGGTCCCTCATCTCCTGAGGCTGCGCATCCTCGCTTCGGACCCACAGCCACCCCCCCAAATCCAGTCACCCCTGCTTAACAACGCGGTCCGCAGCGCGCCCTCCCAGTGGGGTAGCAGGTGACCAGAAGCCAGCCTTACCTGCTGCGAACTCTTCTCCCCCTGTCTCTGGGCCAGAAGTCCTTTCCGGAAGAGAGGAAGGGGATGCGGGCTGTGGGCGTGCGCGGCGGCGATCCGGGGCACCCGCGCGAGCTCCTCTGAGGCAGCCCTGGCTGAGCCGCGGAGCCGCCGGCGGCCCTGACGGAGCGCGGAGGCTGCGGCCGCAGAGGCCAGACGGGGAGGCAGGGGGCGCTGCTGGCCCCGGAGCGCCGAGACGGGACAGGCGGGGAGCCAGGCACCAGCTGGAGCTTTGGGGAGGCGAGTGTGGCGAGGAAAGGCACGCTCCGAGCTGGAGGGCGGCTTTTAAGTTTGTGGTGTGACCGCAGCAGCTGTCCTGGGAGAGACTCACTCTTTCTAAAAAGGGGATGCTCAAAACGCCGGGGATTACCTCTCCCCTTCCGATCTCCTCCCCCAGCCCTCTGGCCCCCCTTTCCTGTGCGCGCGCCAGTCCTCCCCAGCGTGTCGAAGTCCATCCCTGCCGGCGCGCAGGCTGTCAGCAGCGTGGATTAAATGGAGCTCCGGCCACGCCGAGGCATGCTTTTCCGGGCTGGCCACGGTGTGCACTGTCTGTGCGGCAGCCTCTGACGTTTGAGCCCGTGCCAGGCTGATTTTGGGACCTATGTATTCTATACCACCAAATTCGTAAGGACCTCCCGCGGAAGAAACCGCACAATGTCCGAAACATTCTAAGCCTCAAAAAGAGTATCTGTGTTCCAGTATGTAGAACCCCGGGGCCACTGGCCTTCAGAGAGCGGGCATTAGTATGAACCATGGAGGACAAACCTCCATTAAGGGGCTAGCACGAGGTCGGACCAAGTAGAGGGGGGAGGGGAAGTTGAGGGCGGGAAGGCAGAAAACCCCCCCAGATATAAATCTCCTTTCCCCTTTACCTTATACCAGGCCAACAGGGTTATGTCATCTATTTCTTTTCTTTTTTCTAAGATTTTATTTATTTATTTGACAGAGAGAGATCACAAGTAGGTAGATAGGCAGGCAGAGAGAGAGAGGGGAGAAAGCAGGCTCCCTGCTGAGCAGAGAGCCCAACGCGGGACTCGATCCCAGGACCCTGAGATCATGACTTGAGCCGAAGGCAGAGGCTTAACCCACTGAGCCATCCAGGCGCCCATGTCAACTATTTCTGTCAGGAGTTTTCCTTTATAGATTTGTACAGGCCATGGTCTTGCCAAAGGAAGCTGAAGTTATGGGGACCAGGGATGAACCCACATTTTGTGGAGCTAGAACTTAGTTTAAAGGTGGGATTCTCTTTAAGAAAAACAATGCGGAAATAGCTTAATTTCTACAGATCTTACAAAAACGACCATGTGAATTTATTGTCAGACCGCCCTCAGGGTCACGGAAAGGGCAAGTGATGAGTCCTGAAGCTTGGGCCTCCTTAGCTGCGTGGTAAACCCTTCTGCGATTGGAACTCTAGATCTGGAGTCACACACCTTGCACTTATTAGTCCCAAACATAAAGCTGAGTTGAGGGGAGAGCCATAGGGGAAAAAAGCAGCCACAGGGTTCTGCATTTGTCAGCTTGATTTAAGAGCACAGCTTGTAAGGACCCAGAGCTCCTGTGGCAAATGACAAGTGGTGTTTTAGTTTGGGGGTAGTGAGCAGTCAATGGCAACAATGGGAGAACTGGAAGGTGGGAGGAGACTCTTCGTTCAGTGTCTCCTCTGCAGCAGAGAGCTAAGGGCCACAGAAGCTAAATGAGTCATTTCAACTTACAGATGGTTAGTGGCAGAGCCAGGCTCAGGAGGGACTCAAGTTTCCTAACTCTGACCAAGGTTCTTTCCTGTGTCTCATGCTGCCCCATTTCTGCAACCTTGGTTTTGACTTTCCACCAACCAACCCCATAATTTTCCTCTTTAGATACAGGAAAATTTAAGTCCCTACAGACTATTCTGACCTATAGCAACTTTTTTTTTTTTTTTTTGGAATGCTTTGTATTTAACAATATACTCCCCCTCCCCGTTTTGTAATTAACCATACCCTTGGTGTGTTTATTGCATTTTCCTATATATTTTATATTATTTTATCTGTTTATGCCATTGCTCCTCAATCCAAATTGCAACCTCCTTATAAGAACAAAATACCTCTTTTTCTCCCACAGCACAGCTTAGGGCTTTGCATGTAAGAGGCTAATAATAAGTAGTTTTTGACTTTTAAAAACTATTTATTGTCTAATAATTTTGTCAGTTTATTGGCCAGAATATTGTGTTTAACTAGAATTGCGGTTAACTGGATTTCCCCTTTTTCCTCTCCTGTCGAAATCCTATCTTAACATACTCATGCCAAACAGCATCTCCCTTTGCTACTATTTCTACCTTTTCCACAAAGCCTCTACAGAATTAATCATTCCTTCCTGTTTTCCCAAAGCACTTTGATTTCACTACTGTTATAAGCTCTTTTCATGTTATGTCATAATTAGTTGGGCATGTGTGCTCATCTGCTGTTGGTTGTTTTTTGTCTTTTTTTCCCCAAGCCCCTAAAACAATGCCTATGAATTTGCATTAAGCTGGTTTAGTTTGAAATACCCTGACTTCAAATTTAGACTGCATTTACTAGGGCGTCCTGAATGTACCATGGGAAGACAACATCTGGAAACTGGGTTCTGTGCTTTCCTTCCTTTTAATTGCTCTGAGCACACAGCAGGCAGAATCAACTGCACAGCACAAAGTTGTGATGAATGGCCTCAGCTGTGTCCATGGCTTTGTAATCCTTATGGTACTTCTCTAAGTGTCTTGCATGTGGTAGGTGTTTAACAATATTTAGGGATTAAGTTAAGTAAGTTAATAAGTTAGGTACTGTAAATAGTGGACAGGATGATGATAGTCAGCCACTGCATTTATTTTTGAACTTCCACTAAGATACAGGATCCCATCAGTACGGTTTTACAACACTTTCTAAGAGTTTGAGATTCACTGTCATCAAAAGCAGCTGGTAATCTGTCCTGTAGGGCTAACACCCTATCTAAATCCTTGCGTTAACACCTAGCGGGGAAAATCTTTTTTACGTTAAGCTTTCTTACAATGTAAGGTGTATTAGACAGTTTAGGATATCTCCAAGGGTGGCTAGTCAAGATTCAACAAGTGATTCTTAATTACACTGAAAGAAGTGTGTATATCATCAGTAAACTACCGAATTGTTGCTCTATGCCTGTTTCATTCTGAGGCAAAGAAGAAAAAACAGAAATAAAGGAAAGGAAAAAAAGAACAAAGTACTGTCCAATTTCCAGGTGCTTGGAAAAATTTTTGAATACGTGATTTTGTCTTGAGGGTCAGCCTCTTACTCTGTGATATACTACACTTCTCCCATCTCCATTAGGGCTCAGACGGAATCTGAGTAAGTCATTCTTACTGTATGGCAATAGATATGTGTTAGATTATGTGAAATACACTGTTTCTCATAGGATTACATTTTAATACTTAATGAAGCCAAAGAATAAATTTCTAATTATATGATTTCAAGAATCATCAATCTACATTGGGAACCATAAGGGAAGGCAGCAGGGATGGCTAAGAGTAGAATAGGTATATTCTAGGCTTCTCCAACTCCACATATAGCTACCTTTGCCAAGAAAACAGGAGAAAGATAATTACTGGGTCCAGAATTTAAATGTAGCAGGATCTCAGAGGATTTGGCTGCACTTTCAGCAGAAGGTAATAGTTTTTCCAACAAAAATCTACAGTCTTAGTTCTCTCTATACTGTCTTGTATTCACAAAGAAAGGAAGGAAGGAAAGAAGGAAGAAAGAGAGAGAATTTGGTGAATTTAAAGAAAAAAAGGAGATTGATAAAAGAAATTGCAAAGTTCTATGTACAGACACAAGGAAAATGGAGATAAAACTCAAGCATTTCGTGATTGCATCTATAAAACTAGTCATACCTTGATCATACATAAAACCTCTCTACCTTATAATAAATACTACTTTATGAACGTTTTCCCACGTACTAACGTATCAGTACTGACAGATAAATGTTGTTATACTCATTAGAGAAAACTGGAGTATATATTAGTTTGTATCTAATGGGAACAAGTGATGGCATGAGTTGAAAGCAGCTCACCCATCTCCTAATCTTCTATCAGGTGTTTTCCCCTTATAAACTTCAGATTTTTTTTTCCATTTGTTTCATTTGATCATGGCAGTCCACTCAATCCTGGATCATTAAGTAGTACATTTTAAGATCATTAGGTCATGCTTAATGATGGAAAAGAACACACCTTTCATCTTTATTTCGATATTAATTACACATACATAGAACTCTCAGAAGTAAATGTATCTCTGTTTCTCATCTTTAAGTAAAGACTGAACTACGGTGAGTTAATCAGAATGTAAAACTGTCAGAACTTTGCTTAATGTCTCTGAGTTTTAAACTCTTTTAACATCATAAATAATCATAAACATTCAGAGTTAGGAGAGGCCTCAGAGACCTTCTAGCCCTCATGTTATACGTGAGGGACCCAAGGCCAGGGAGATGGACAGCTCACCCAGCTCCTTCTAACTCCTGCTCTAAGCCCTCTACAATACAGCACCCTGCTATAGTGCCTTTACTTGAAGACGAAGAAAAAAAAAAAAGAGAGAGAAAAAAAAAAAACAAAACAGCTATTTTTCAAAACCTATCCAAGCCAGAATCTTAAGGTTATATTTACTTAGCTGGTTTGGGTGTGGTGAATAATTAAATGCAGCAGGAATGCACTTCAAAATAAAAATAAAAACACAACCCAACCCCTTTGGCCCAAGTCCTGAGACCTCAGAAAAGAAAACCTCCTTGACTGTGAACATTTGCTGGAGGTCAGAAAGCCTTTTTGAGGCCGATCTAGGAGTCCGCATAGCTAGTGCAGGATGGAAGAGTTTATAGTCAAATAAATGATTCTTTGTGTTGTGTGTATGTGTGTGTTTTCTTTTTTTTAACAGTGTTCTTAGATCAACAAACAATCCTCAAGGAAGGATTTTAAGGAAAAATAAACACCTTTCCTATATATCATATAAGAAAAAAATCATCTTTGAGTTTGCTTTTCTTAATACCTCAGGCCACCCTGAGAACATACTTTAGAAATAGTGTATTCTTCTAGGAAAATGGAGGAGGGGAGGGATTCCTGTGATACCTAATCGAGGCAAGCCTTATTTGTGTAAGGGTGATGAAACCAAGAAAAATATGCCCTCTTGTGGCTTATTTGTTCTAGTTCACAACTAATCAACAGTACTCTATTATTTCCTGAAACTCAAACATACCTATATTCCAAGTGGAATTAAACTATTCCTTTGTGCAGTAACTGGAGAGAACAGGTCCATGCCGACAGCAGGAAGGCATTCCAAGACTTCTGCTTTGTTCAAGGTCGTATGCAGCTACCGAGCCACAATGAAATCAGTATCCCTAAAAATGGGGGAACATTTTCCAAAAT